GGGGTACTCGACTATATCATTCTATCTTGTTTTTTATTTGGCAATGACTTGCTTGACAAGGTGTGTAAGTGCGAGAGAGTCGATAAGATGTACGGGAAAGTTTTTGCTCACCAAACTTAGGGTGCAAGTTGCGACTGAACGAGGTTTTGCTGAAGGTGCACGTGAGGGTTGAACGATATACGGAGGCCGAGATGTCGACTGCAACTATGGCTATGGTGAGATTTGGAGGATTCATTCCAACGGTGTCCAGGCTGCACGATGATCAACAGTGGCCGCGTTGCTGTGGGGTGCTCCTGGGGGTTGATCTATAGTTGGAGGACCGAGATGTCGACTCCAACTATGTCGGTGAGACTTGAAGGATGGTGTGTCCACTCTAACGACGTCTAGGTGGTGATGATCAACAGCAGCCGCGAGTAGTGGCGGACTGATGCGGCGGGAGACGCTTGAATATAGTCGGCAGATGCGAAGAGCTGCTACAAGCTGTGTGCGCGAGTGAAAATTCTACGAAGACGCTGGGTATGCAAATTTAGCAGGGCGAAAGGTCGTGAATGCGCGTGCAAAATTTCTATGTGGTCGATGGTTAGACCGGTAGCGAACGCGATGCGCTATTTTACAAAATGTGGCAGGACAAATAGGTTTAAATGCGCGGGCGAAGTTAGAGCAAAGTTAAAGTGGCGGTTTAGTGCTAGTTTAATGACGATTCTTGATTTTCTCCTAACCCACAACTTGTCGCGGCGTAGCAAGCTTCAATAAAATTTTTTATAACTTCTTATCCTATCTTATTTTCTATCTCCCACTCCTTCGTTCATACGAGTTGGCAGCATCATTATAACAGGTGTTATATTAACTAACATTCAAAAGGTGAAAAATTTAATAAAAAACAAATTATACCAATTGGGTTTTGACCGAACACTGCACATGTGTTGATTGCCACCTTAAAAATGAATGATATGGATCTTCTATACAGAAAAGCACATTCAGGATTTGTTAGAAAGCAGAGGTCCAGTAATCGACCAAGAGAATTTTGTAATATGATTAACTTGCGACAACGATATGTCGAGCAAGCCTCCAATATATTATATATATTAGTTTGGCAAATATCTCCCTTCCGCCTTTTTGTCTTTTGAATTTCGCGGCTATGTACAAAGCGCTACAGAGCTCGTATCTGGCAATATATAATTTGAAAGGTATACATAATTTGAAAGGTCTTGACATAACCTACAAAACGACGCTATGCATGATTAGTTTGGATATTGCGTTCAACAGTTATAGACGTGTAAACATGGAGTTCACTAACGCCGAAATTCGCGCTATTTTAAAGTTTTCCTTCGTTAAAGGCAAATCCGCCAGAGAAACGTTCCGTGACATTAATGGTGTTTTGGGGGATGGTACTCTATCACTTCGAACCGCGGAGGAATGGTTTCGACGATTCAGAGCCGGTGAAAACGACACCATGGATAAGCCAGCCGGCGGAAGACCTGTGACGACAAATACCGATCAAATCATGGAATACATCGAGTTAGACCGGCATGTGGCATCTCGTGACATCGCCCAGAATATGGGAGTTAGTCACCAAACCATTTTAAACCATCTGCAGAAGGCTGGACACAAAAAAAAGCTTGATGTTTGGGTGCCGCATGATTTGACGCAAAAAAACCTTCTGGACCGAATCAACGCCTGCGATATGCTGCTGAAACGGAACGAACTCGACCCATTCTTGAAGCGGATGGTGACTGGCGACGAAAAATGGACCACATACGACAATATCAAGCGAAAACGGTCGTGGTCGAATCGTCCCAAACAGTGGCCAAGCCGGGATTGACGGCCAGGAAGGTTTTGCTGTGTGTTTGGTGGGATTGGAAGGGAATCATCCACTATAAGCTGCTCCCATATGGCCAGACACTTAATTCTACCAACTACTGCGAACAACTGGACCGCTTGAAGCAGGCGATCGACCAGAAGCGTCCAGAATTGGCCAACAGGAAGGGTGTAGTGTTCCACCAGGACAACGCCAGACCACACACTTCGTTGATGACTCGTCAGAAGCTACGGGAGCTCGGATGGGAGGTTTTATCGCACCCACCATATAGCCCGGACATAGCGCCAAGTGATTACCACCTGTTCCTGTCCATGGCGAATGCCCTTGGTGGTGTAAAGTTGAACTCAAAAGAGGCTTGTGAAAAGTGGCTGTCCGAGTTCTTCGCAAATAAGGAGGGGGGCTTCTACGAGGGAGGTATTATGAAGTTGCCATCTAGATGGAAACAGATTATCGAACAAAACGGCGCATATTTGAACTAAATCCGATCACTGTAACACTTTTTATAAGGCATTGAAAAAAGAGCAAAAAAGCGGAAGGGAGATATTTTCCAACCTATTATATTCGATTAGATTATTTGATTTTTCTTCTGTGGACCTCGTAGAACCAGGTATTTTAAAATCACGTAGAACTACCAATTGGATAGCTGAAAAATTCAGAAGACGGCGAAATTTAAAAGCACGTAATATAAACAGAGTTATCGTACAATGACAGCTTTACGCATATGAATTCTACGTTACGGGACTCGTCGAAAAATACCTAATTTGGAATGCAAAGAACAGACTATCAGAATACAAATACGCAATTACTACTCAAGCCTCTTGCATGCTGATGAGACATAGCGAGGCTATGTGTTAGTTTTTGAAGAAGAAGAATAAGTAGAAGAAGTAGAAGAGGAGGTTGGTGCAGTGTTACAAAAGCAATGTACTTGGCTTTACAAGGGTCCAGAAATAACAAAGTCTCTGACGCAATAAATTATAGATTTTCCTGAGCAAGGAATTCTCACTATTGTTTCTGGTTGCACGATAATAACCAATGAGAACATATTCTTAGCTTATTCAATAAGTAGGATTCCAAGAATTGTTTTAGAATCCATAAACACCTTCTGTCATTGTCAATAATGAAATAAATAAGGAGAAATAAGTGAAAATCATTATGAATTAAATGAACATAATTAATCGCTGGAGGCTACGGCATTAGCCATTCTTGGCTAAGCAGTTTTTCCTGCACTCTCTGAAGCATCCAAGAGCAATGTTCTCCCGTAACATATTCTTAAGGCACTAAGGTTTTTCTTTAATTGTACTTACATATTATATGATTTTTAGTCGTAAGATGAACGTTGAAGAATCCAAGAACAAAAATCCCATCCGATTTCTTTTACTTGACAACAATTCAATTTTAGCGTTCCACTAAATAGACTAAAAACTAATTAAATTTAACTATAATATGTATATATTGCTTTTTCTACCACCAAGACAAGAAAAGATTTAAAAATAACTTGCATAGACCAAAAATTTATTTCATTTCACAGGACTAATTAATTGTAGTTTGTAACTTCCATAAGAAGGATTTAGTAACATTTTAAAGTGAGCAAAAAATGTTAATAAAACCGGACTACAGAAGTATGCTAATAAAATATATATGTATGTTAAAGGTTGTTTTCATTTTAATTTTTAATAACATTTTCGTCTAAAATATTTTCGTCTAAATATTAATTATAAGACTTTCTTGTGCTTTTACATAAACATATCTTATGAATTATGTAAGCGATGTAGAGAGAAACATTTTGACAATTTATAACAACTTAATCGTGAAATTTTAACAAATTCTCCATGTCTTATGTAGTGCCTGGTCGATATAGCCATAAACACCTTGCGGCAATTACAAAAAATGCAATTTTTAATAACGAATTACTTTCAAGTTCTGATAAAGAGCACCTGTACATACATTTTCAATCAATGTTATTAAAATATATTTTTTAACTGGTAAATAATACAACGGATATTAAGCACTAACAACTACCGTTAAATAAGTAAATTTTAACTTTTTTATAAATGTACTTTTTTATTTATATTGTATATAGTATATAGGTCGGAACGAGTTGGATTGATGACTATATGATATCTGGCCAAAATCTGAATGCCTCATTTCATACGTACGGGCAGACATGCGGACCTGGCCAAATCGAATCAACTAGTTATCCTCATCCGACCTAAGAGTCGGATATACTTTTCAACGGATATATTTTTTTACTCGAAGTCTATACAATTTTATGCGAGTTAAACTTAAAACAATTAGGACCGTTCTAATTGAAAGGGTATATTAACGTTGGTTTGTAATGCTACCATCCCTTCTAATTTAATTTATGTACATATTTTTATTTTATACAAAAAACCGTTTATAACATTTACATTTCTAAATTTTGATAGGCAAAATTTGAGACTTTTTATGGTAGGTTAAAATTTAAATACACTTGAAAATATTCGAATACCATGATATGCAAAATGTAATTTATAAACTTCTGAATGGCAAGAATTTTTAAATTTATTAGCAAAAATTGTTTATGGAAGGTAAGCAACCAAGGGTGATCAAACCCGCGATCTGCATACTCGGTATTGTATGAACAAACGTTTAACGATGATTGTGCAGCTTTTTATCAGTAACTTTAAACAAAGAACGCCATCTGAATAAAAACTCAGGGAAATGGCTATACCGACTTATTATTATATTATATTATTATATCCCTTGGAGATTCATAATAAAATGCTAGTATTATGGATAAGTTTACACTAGTAAATAATATGCGTCACAATTACTATTGCATATTTTAGATTGAAACATTATATAATATATTGGTATTTTTACACAGCAGTTTCACGATTCTCATGATTCTGTTTGCTTTAAAAATTACCAGTTCCTGGTGTTTTTTGATTTGAAATCTCGAATAAAATATAATATTTGGATGATATTTGACAATATTTGGACAACAGCGAGGAGTAATTTAAGTACTTCTAAAAGGTTCTGCAAATACTGATGGCTCTTTTTCCAAAAGGTTTTTAGTTTTATATAACTTTTTGGAGCACATAGGGGGCTTAAATCATGGACAGAAAAGCCTCGGTTGCACACGTACAAATCAGAATATTTGTTGTTGAAATGTTTATGTATATTGTAGTCGCCTTATAACCTTTTTACTTTAACAGTTGATGTGCCCTTTGATTAGCAACTGCTATCCGCGCTTCATTAGATTCACCCTGGAAAGAAAAACAAGAAGCATTTTAGAAAATAATGCACTTAATAACCTTGTATATATATTTATACAGTAGAGCAACACCTTTATCTATTCCCATTGTCCCCAAAATTCGTTGCCTATGAAAATAAGACTTGAGAAAGGTATTTCGTGATTTTATCCCCCACCCATTTTTAAAGGGTCCCCAAGACTGTGAAAATCGTAAATCCCTTAATGCTTTGGCACTGTATATGGACTTTCAAAGTCTTTTATAATGATCCTTTTGCTTTATGAAAATATTTAGTTAGTTAGTTGTATTTAGCCAAATACAATCCCCTCTAAGCTGCAAAAGGCAAACAAATGCAAAAAGCGAATGCACATTGATGGCTTTGGGATAACGTGCAAGGTCAACCATTCCAGTAAACTTTTGTGTCATCGAAGTCCTTCACTCAAACAAAGATTTGCTCAAGAACGCTTGCTTGTCTGGGGTCTATATGATAAAGCATATTTTAATCTTTCTGCAGTCTTCTTTTTGCCCATTGCACACAATCTTTGGTCTGCCCGGTCATTGACAAACTCCTTCGTTCTTGGTTATGTTTGTCACCGCGGGCTGCTTCGTCTGGATCGATTTTTATCACAGCCTGCAATTTTTACTGGTCAAAAATACATCTGTATTTTATTATCTGCTTATGGGGCCCTATATACATGAACTCATTATTAGCCATATTAAATGCCAAATATGACGTAAATACGTGAACCGGTGACCGATACTTCCAACTGGAACTCTTAAAAAAATTAAGATTATCGTAATGAAACTTTTGTAGATTCCTATAACATTTTCATAGGAAACATAATAGCACCTCGTTGTCTCAGGCACCCGTCGGTAGAAGAACTATGCCGTGATCACGCCACGAGAGCTTATGTTGCCCATTATATAAATGATTATGAACATAGTTTCGCTCATAGTTCATACAGTTGGGGTCCTCAAATAAAGCGCTTTCATCGAGAAAACTTGAAACTCTGCAGAGGAATCCCCAGAATTCTTCGGGCACCAAGTCGTTGTTTTTTAAACAAAAAAAGAAATTCGGACTGAAAAATGTCCGAGGTTCAGAAAGAGCGATATGAAAAAAACCATTCAATCCCTCTCAATCGACTTCTCCTTTGATCATCATTTTCGTTGAAACTCACAATTACTTAATTCTATGGGCTTATGTAAATTGTTTTCTATTAATTTTCCCGACATTTGCTCCCTCATTTTTTTAAACGTTCAAAAGGGATTAAACATTTTGATGGTGGCTACACGACTACTGCGGTGATCAACAAAAAATCAAGCAACTGCGGTATGTCGAGCTTTTTCCCCGTGCTCGGGAATTCCGATTCGATGCACCGATGACTCTCCCAAGCTTATTGTAGGTAAATTTTGACCTTTTATTACGCGCCGAGCCTAATAAGGTATATTGACTAAGTAAATGTGCCGACGAAACCCCTCAACAAAAAAACTCAACAACTGGGGCTCAGCGCTGCGTTTAAGATGTAACTTAGGTTACAACACACTGCTGTTATTTTTTTTTACCGCTTCACAGGCTGGCTATAGACACTTTTTCCCTCACCAAAGTGATGGGTGTGGGCTCGATTGCACTCTATGGCGCCTGGATCTGAAAAGGCAGATCTAATCCGTGGGGATCGTCAGAAAAAAGTTTAAAGGAACCTATGTTAAAATGAATGCCCCTTCCCTTTTTGCCACATCTTCTACGAAAAACCCACTCCTAGATGGGAACTGTGGCAACCCTTATGATTCCTCTAGCGGCGCGACCAAGAACTAAAATCTGTCAACCCACCTCAAAAAAACAGCACTATTGGGAACTCTCGCTCAAACGCTAATTCTCCGCCACATGTAAAAGGTTCCTCCTTATATTTTTATATAGAAAATAATAATAAATAAAAGATATTAACCTACGCGACGATCTTGGCATTTAAGGATGCCAAATTGGTGATCCCGAAGCTTGAATTTTGATATTTTTACGCATAACGCCAGCCGAAACACTTTACCGATATTAAGTACGATTAATACCAGAGTTGCAGTACAACAACACAATGGTTCCAAACCCGGACAATGACACGGACCAGATTCGTGAGCTTCAAAACAGCTTGAAGCTCTGCGAAGAAACGCCTACATGTGCCCTCTCAGCTTGTCTTGGTAAAGTTGCAAGTCGAAAGCTCGTTCCGCCTTCATAACATAGATACGTTCGATTTGATATCCGTCAACTCGGAGGAACACGATCTCCGGTGGACAACAAATACCTTGCTCTCAAAACTCGACTGCTGGACAAATTTTCTTCGCCAGCACAATCAAAACTAAATCGTCTTTTGCGAGGAGGCGAGACGACTGGACTTAAGCCATCGGAGATTTTAGCATACATGCGACGCTTTGCTCTTAGAGACTCCTTCTACTACTTGTGCAATTGGATCTGACAACTCTCAGCCTTTGGGTAATTTCTTATACGCAGTCAAGCAACCTGGGACTATCAAAGACGTTGCAATTTCGTTACGCGCATTGACCCATCAGTTGAATACCTTGAAAGGCAAAATAAAGAGTATCAAGACATCAACATCGAGCCCATATTCTGGTAGATCGAATAAACTGGAATCTGGAAGCAATGGAGGCCAGACAGAAACCGATTCTGAGCTTGTTACTAACTCCAAAAATTTGGCTACAACGCTATAAAGTGCAGGGAACCATGCTCATTCAGCACGTCCGTAAACTAGTACGACTGTTGGCAAATACGCTGGTTGACGAGAGAATCCGCATCACCGGCGATTACCAGGCTAAACCAATCGAGTTTTTTAACCCATAGATTGTACTTCTACGATAAAAAATTAAGAAATCGTTTTCTCATTGACTCCGGCTCCGTTCTTTCTGTGTTAGCTCGAACACTAGTTAAACAGAATCTTAAGTCAAGCAGTGTGTGGTTGGTTGTATGCTCGATTTGGACCTCCGATGCGCAGCTTCAATTGGTATTTTAATATCGCTGACGATCCGACTGCAACAATTGGTGCCGATTTTTTAAACAATTTTAAGTTTCTTATCGATTTATCGGGTATAAGAACAAGCGCCCTTCAATATTTACAAAACCAAGTATTTGTCTGAACCGTACAAGGCCCACTTCATCTTCAGCGATTAATGCGAGAGCTTGTTACCGAGACAAAATCAAACACCGATGGAACTCTACTTCATGAACTCTACTCGATTGCTGATCGAAATAGCCCTCCTAATAGAGCGCGGAATATGTCGCCGTCCATAAACCCTTGCTCCAGCCCACTCCCTATGGTAGCCAAGAAAGATGGGGGCGCCGGGCTTGTGGAGACTGCCGAAAACAGAACGAAACTACGGTACCAGATAGAGACCAAATAGCTAACTTACAAGATTTTACAGAACACTTCCACGGAAAAAAAGTATTCTTCACATTGGATTTGGTAAAAGCCTATTACCAGATTCATATGGCTGAGCGCGACATACCGAAAACTGCAATTTGCACACCATTTGGCTTATTCGAATTCCAATACTTGCCTTTCCGGTTGAAAAAAACCGCACAAACTTTTCAAAGATTTCTGGGCAACATCTTTCGGGGCATTGAATATGTTTAATGTAACATCGACGACATTTTAAACATGTCAGATTTAATTACTCAACATCAAGAACACCTTCGCAACGTTCAAGGAATACTTCGAAGACACGGCCTTTGCGCAAACATGGACAAATGTCAACTAGCTCAATCAAAAGTACGTTTCCTTAGCTATGTATTTAATAGTAATGGGATCAAACTACCAACCGATCGCTTCCACGTTATTCATATCCACGCTCGCCATGGAACTATTAGTCAGCTCGGCAGGTTCTTGGACATTGTAAATAATTATCGTTGATGTATCCCGCAAATAATCACATATCCAAGCACCTTTGTCGGAGCTGCTTAAAAATGTAAATCAAAATGATCAACGGAAAATCGACGTTCTGTGGAACAGTCAGCTAAACACGCGTAAGTCATACGTGCAAGACTATAGTCGAGGAGAGTACGGGAGCGAGCCGTGCAGACCATGCGCAGAGATCCACACGGTGAGGATATTGAAGGACGAGAAGACAAGAAGACGTGGAGTGGTCAAATGGGATTGTGGAGCCAATGGTTGGTGTCCTGCGACAGCAGCCGTCCTAACAGACGTGCTCTTCCGGGTGTTTGCAAAGGTGGTTCTGGGAAGACCTCTGGTTCGATTTAACGGACGTCACACTGTGAACACTTTTGTTGACCGCCTGGTGCGGTAACAAAGTAAGTTTTTTTCAGTAATACTTTATGCATCAAATCAGTAAATTTTTAATCGAAGAATCTTAAAAATCACTGTTATTTAACATATCACTGGTCACCGCGAAATCAAAATGATTGAAAATACCTCTTTCAATATGCGAGCGTTTCTCATGTAACGAACCGCTACACTAAAACAAGATGTTAGCATAACAATCGAGGGCACGCGGTAATATTCGGTTGGCTGCTTGTCGGCGTTGGAGTGGGTAATGATGCCCGACACTATGAGAAGGCCTATTCTTAATGATAAATACTCTCTAATTCCTATGCAATACAAGATAAATACGGGAATTAGAAAACAAATGAAAAAAAGCAAAGCTGGTAAAAACTTTTATCCAAGTGCGCCCTTCTGCATTAACTGCCTTCGCAAGAAGTAAAAAAAATTAAAATCAAAGAGGTTGACATTTTCTAATCAGCTCATGCCTTTGCATGAGACACAATCCACTTATTATGTTTTGCATTGGAAAGAGTAAATTCTTGCCACGACCATTGTGACCAAAACACAAGACCAAACAAAAAGTTGCGAGTTAGTTTTACTCTAGCGTTGCTCGATCGATGAGTTCTCCAGAGACTGCAAATCAAGCAGAGCAAAGAGAGTGCAACGTGTGTTGTGCTTGATGTGCATTGGTGGTACTAATGCATAAGCAACAAAGTGAAATACGCACGATAGTCAAGTCTCGAATAGGTAGTTAGTATTTAAAGAAATTTTCTGGATCAAATGGTGAAAAATTGAACCATTGGCAGATCCATTCCTATTTAAGCCCCAAAAAATCAAAATGAGGTGCGGACTCGTTTTTTGAACTTGTCAGTCGGCAAGATAAAGCCGAGGGCTGAGCTATGCATTCGTGTGAGGCAGATTCGCCTCTAAAAGAAACTGATAAAAATACTCAAATACTCTGAAACTTATGAAGCAATGCGTAGCCATTCTTTGATTTATAATAAAATTCCTGAAAGTCCGCCCTATTTAATTCAGGAGCAATGAGCACTGCCCCGATAAAAAGTCATGGTTTTGCCAAAGACATTAGAATGACATTATTCTACGCTGGGCACATTGTGTAACGAGGGTGTGACGTAAAAGCTCTTATAGATTCTCGACATTGTTTGGCCTGTAAACCAACACTTCGAAGAGTCGTCTGCCAAACGAATTGCGCATGTAATAGGTATCAATGAATCTCTTAAAATAAAACCCATTTGATCAGGAGAACAAATCAGATTGGTGCTCCTCGACATTGCTGCGAGTTGGGGGTCGGTTAGTGCCTATATCCCATATGAAGCCAAATACCCGTTGTTTCTACAAAACCGCTCACAGTTTGTTACAAATATTATTATGGAATTATGCCACGCCCACCCTAAAACCCACAAACCTCCCAAAACAGCAACGCGTACACTTTTGAAATATATTTTGATACTTTTTCATTTTATTTTTAGTCTTCCCAATTTCTATCTGTATAGCAACAACATTTAGGCGACGCCGCCTTCAACGCCCAAAAACCGATTAAAACTTTCATACCCTCACTTTTGAAAATATATTTAAGAGAGACTTTGAAGAGATGCACTTGCAAGCTGATGCAACATTTTGAATTTTAAGAGTGCAGACATGCGAAGCTAAGTGAAGCATCTGGGTAAGCTTTTTACAAAAATATCTCAGCGGCAAATCGAACAGATACCAGAACACTTGGTGATTTCTTAGGCCGCCAAAACAAGTAATGTGACTAGCGCTGTTCTTGCCTCAATAACAAAACGGCTTGTGTGCGTTAGAGTGGGCGTGGCAAAAAGTTTTTGGAAAATCTATAGAAATTTGGAAACTAACTTGCTTATACTTATACTAACTAACTTATACCACGATATTTAGTTGTTATGCAATAACTTTTGTTATATCCATTACAATAGCATTAAAATTTGTTTAATATTTAAGGCTCACCAAATATAATATATATTACAGGCTGCGACTATCTTTTATATCAATTGAACACCACTTTTACCAATCTCACGAAATTATTAACTATAATAATACAGAAGGAAATATTCTGATAAAATTATTCTACATTGGCCAGAAACCTTATTTTGACCCCAAAGATTCAAATTAGTCTTCAAATTGGAAAAGTTAAGGGGAAATGTAACTAAACCAGAACTTACATTAAATCGATTGTAAGCTAATAGACAAATAGGTTTATAAAAAAGCCTTTAATGTGGCTTAAATAGTCTCTTAGAAATAAATTTAAAATTTATAAACGGTTTTTTGAGGTTGTGTATAACATTAAATTCCTAAGCTGACAGATAAGTAAAGTTTCACATCTTTAATGCTTAGAATAAAATATTTGTTGTAAATAAATGTAAACTTACCTTGCGGTTTATTCTATCAATTTGACGATTTTGATTTTCAAGTTCAGAACCCATATCCAATGCCATGTTACGGAGGTTGCCTATCATAGTGTTCACCTGGCCCATATTTTCTTCCATTTCATCTTCTCTAGCATCATTTGTTATCCTAAATAAAACATTTTGTTTTTAAGCTATGTTATTTAGTTTTATCATAAGTATTATAATATAGAATTTATTTCGAATGTTCGAAGGCGTGGTTGAGGTCATATAATGTGAGAAGTTAAAAACTCCGCGCAAATGCAGATATAAAACAAGATATAATGCTATAGTCAAGTCCCCCGACTATCAGATATCCCTTACTCAGCTAGTGGAAGTGCAAACGAGAAATTTCAAAAATTTCTGGAACATCGGTAGAAATTGGGTAAAAAATAATAAAATGAAAAATAAATTTTAAGAAATTTAAAAGTATGGGCGCTTCGGGGGCTTTAGAGTGGGCGTGGCAAAAAGTTGTTTGGCAAATCTATAGAAATTTACAAGATTTATTCAAAAATTAAAAAATATCACCCCATTTTTTAAAATTGTGCGCGTGACAGTTTTGGGCGGTTTGGGAGCTTATAAGTGGGCGTGGTAAAAAATTTGTTGGAAAATCTCTAGAAATTTACCAACTATATTCAAAAATAAAAAAATTTCAGAACATGTTTCAAAATTGTGGGTGTGACAGTTTTGGGCGGTTTGTGGGCGTAGTTGGCGAAGAAGTGGGATTGGAAAAATTTTTTTTGGCAAATCTCTAGAAATTTACAAACTAATATATTCAAAAATTAAAAAATAAAACAACATTTTTCAAAAGTGTGGGCTTGATCATTTTGGGCGGTTTGTTAGAGTGAGCGTGGCAACATTTGAAAACAAACTTGCGCTGCGTCTAAGTCTCTTTTAGCTGCGTGCTTAATCTAAAAATTCTAGCTTTTATAGTTCCTGAGATCGAGGCGTTCATACGGACAGACGGACGGACAGACGGACATGACCTGTTCTACTCGGCTATTGATCCTGATCAAGAATATATATACTTTATATGGTCGGAAACGTTTCCGTCTGTCTGTAACATACTTTTCAACGAATCTAGTATACCCTTTTGCTCTACAAGTAACGGGTATAATAATGACCTTCTTGTTGCCATTTACGCAATAAGTTACAAGCAGTTACAGTACGGGAAAGTAGAGAGTTTGGAGAACAAAAATTCAGAGGAAGAGAGTGAGGAGAAAGTGGGTTTGGAGAAGGAGAGCTTGGAGAAAAAAAGTGGTGAGAAGAAAGGAAAGAAACGGCAGTCGTTGGAGCAAGATGGCGGGAAGACAGAGAGAGTGCTAATTTCGGCAAATGGGACAGACAAATGGTAAAACCAAAGACATTACAATAACAAGATTTGTGCTGGCTTTAGAGCTGGCTCTAGGGTCTCTGCAATTTTTGTTCAAGAGCCAGAGAAAGAGCGCTTTAGAGCCAGCAGCTCTCTTGTACGCATACAGCGTCTGTCGCTGTATTCATTTCAAGTTTACAAGTTTATGGACTTTCAATCTATATTATTTTTTGATTGCTTGCCACCATATAAAAGTCTCTAATTTTGCATTGCCTTAACATTATAAATATTTTAATACATCATACAACAAGATAGAATGCTATAGTCAACAAGAGTTAACTTGAGTTTCTCATATGGACAAGTCCACAGATGTGGCACTGTTCTTATTAACCACGTGTGCAGAAAGTGGAAACAAAGTGATTTACTTTTGTGAATTCGACTCACTAATTTATTTGACGATTTGCATCGTCAAGACTGCTGTCAACTGTTAAAGCTGAAAAAATTAATATATCACCACGGAAATCAATTGACTTCGACGCTATGAAGGCAATTGCAGGTGTATGATACTCTGAACTACGCGCTAGCTTGCCAATTACTTCATGGCGAATGCCCAGCTATCTTCACCCCATGTGAATTTACAACCTGTAACACAGGAATTACGACAACATCAAGCATATCCACTACACCGTCCAGTCCATTTCGACAACAACACTGAATGGTAGTGTGTGCTCTATAACGGTCAGCCCGAGCTAAATCAATGCGGTTCACTCTAGAGGATGGCAAGAAGTACCTCACAAAGAGCTGTCTCCATTCTATCCCCCAAAGTAACCCCAAAAAGGCAGGACTCATTAGGAGGACTGTAACCGCACAAATTGTTTCCAAGCCTTGAGAGATTGCGAAGTCATCCTCCACCTCGCAAGCCGCGATTGATTGTGCAAAACTGAAGCATGCAAGCATGAATACACCTACTCCCGGCGCCCCCCACTAACTCTCACTAACACTTACTAGCCCCACCAACTTTTTGACATTCTCCAGCAAGCTGGACGCCCTCATTGGAGACTCTTCCACTATAAAAACTTTAAATTGAGGTGACTGCACTATACAGTGTAACTCCTCCGACTACAGAACGGTGGCTTGTCGAAAAGGGTATACTCTTTCACCACCACCAGCTACCAGAGGATCAGCCCTTCTGCATTGTAATGCGTAATGTTCATCGGAAGACATTATCGAATGCCTGCAGAAGGCCACCACGTTCTCCGCGTATACACCTCACGCAACAAAATAACACAACTCCGACTCAACATGAGATTCATCGATTTAATAAAGGAGGAAAGCAACAATTATGTCTGGCGTCTGCAGGCATAAATTTAGCTGGGAGAAGCCGGGAAAACAGTCCAAGCCCGTTAAATATCTCAGGAGCCAGGAATATGGGCACACCAAGGCTTACTGCACAAGGCATATGCAGGCAATGCGGTAAGAATCACCTAACCAAGGAATGTAATCTCGGAACGGCCGATTCTAAGTGCTGCAATTTTAAAGTTTGCAAAAAATATCTTCAACTCGACTTAAAAATTAAGCAGCACATAAGATCATTCCAACACCTGTACCAAGTATTACTCTAACCTTTGGCAGGCAAACTTATGCGAGCGTAGCCAGGACTAATATAATGGTCGATCAAAGACCTGCATAGCCCAAGTAAACAACCCCTCCCCTCGGTCACAAGCACAAACGATGCTCTGGACGCTATGTTGGAACTGCCCTTTACGAGATTCGACAGGATGATGTCGATAATAGAGTCCCTCATGCAAGCGATCCTTCAGATGGGCCCTGTCTTCACCGTCTCATACAAGGGGTAAATTTAAAATAGCAGTCAGGAATGCCAACGAAACCTACTTGAAGGTTAACGAGATTACTGCCTTTATAGAGCTCCATGACATCGACATCCTCATGCTGTCTGAGACGCACTTCTGTTCGCGGTCCATCTTTAGAATTCCCGGCACACAATTTGCATACTGCCAACTACTCGGATGGGAGACACCACGAAGGTTCGGCAATCCTTATTAGATCTACAATATCAACCCTCCTTTTCACTCTCAGAAGATTACCTACAATCAGTCGGCATCAAGCTGTCTGCAAGCAGAGGGTCATTCGATGTTGCCTCGGTCTACTGTCCTCCAGCCTTCAGGTGGGCTGAGGCAGACATCTTGCGCCATAGAAGCTCTGACTGAGCTTTCGTCTGACCATATCCCGCTGCTCTTTGAACTGGACGAGGAGGCTCAATAATTTTTAGGGAACCCCTAGAACGCTGTCTTTGCATGTAAATGTTGCTATTTTTGAGACACACATCTAGGATGCCGTCGTGCTGAATATGCCCATCAACACTACCGATGACCTGCATGCTTATTTTCACAGCTGACCTTACAAAAACAACAACAGCAACTTCTCAGTCTGGAAGTTAACGTGAGGAATAAGGAGGCAGCCGCTCTGCCAATCGCCCGTACAGGGACACTGGCATATGGCTCAAAACGGATGGTGAAAAAGCGAACGCATTTGCTGAGCATTTGTTCTCTACCCCCTTTCCACTGACGGACGGCTTCCACTAAGAGGAAATCGCAAACTTTTTGGATGTGCTTACTCAACCAGCCCACCCCATGAGACATACCACGCCGCAAGAAGTCAGCTTGCAGTTAAAGGCCCTCCAAATGAAAAAGACACCCGGACCGGACGAAATTTAAAATCGTGCAGCCAAATACCTTCCACGCAAAGGAGTTCTGGCCCTAGTACAAATTTATAACGCCATGCTGAGACTAGGGCACTTCCCTAAGAAATGGAAACGGGCGCGGATTGTTATGATACCCAAAGCCGGCAAACCTCCAATGCAGATAGACTCATATCGCCCAATAAGTCTGCTTCTAACCGTTTCAAAGGTCTTTGAACTCATTCTGCTGAAGCGATTGATAGAACGCAGGTATCAGGCTATATACCACAACATCCATTCGGTTTCAGGAAGTCACATGGTTGCCCGGAACAAGTTCACCACCTAGTCAATCACGTAACACACGGCTTTGAGTCCAAGTTCTTTACGGTGGAAGTCTTTCTAGACGCAGCCTTTCTTAAAGCAAGCAATTGACAAGGTATGGCACGAGGGACTCTTGTACAAAATTAAGGCCGGACATTGAAGTCTGAGCATCCAAGTGGAATACAGCTATAAACTGTGCTATGTTCGCTTGTGTGACTTTCGCCCTCCGGCCCGGCACCTGCACTGGCTTTACTTACAATGGTGGAATGATAGGCGACGTGAACTCCCACTGTTACCTGGATCGAAAATTCATTTGGAGGGCCCATGTCACAGCAGTAAAGACAAAGTGCCATCAAAAGCCACAAAAGCTGGACTGGCTACCGCGGTCAAGCAAACTTCAGCTTTCGACAAAAGTCGAAACGTCATTAAGGCGATAATGAATCCTACATGGACATATGCTATCCAAGTTTGGGGAACGGCCTCCAAACACCATCTGGAGAGGCTGAGAACTGTTCAAACACGTACTGCTCGGCGTGCGTCCGGTCTTCCCTGGGACGTCTCCAATCACCGCTATCCAAGGAATCTCCGGAAGATTGTGATTGGTGATCGGATCAACCTTCACAGTAGCCTATTCGTAGACAAGCTAGTAAATCACCCAAATTCTTTGGCGAGTAGTCTCGCGAGTCCTCTTCCCCTCCGACCATAAAAATAGTAATAGATAAATAAATGTACATAATAATATCTTGCGACGTGAAAAAAGATATGAAGTTAGTGATTCTTAAAGATGCTTATGTCCGCT